CTGTGGCTTTGTCACCAACATCATCACCGGTGACTTCAGACCATATTACATTTATTGCAGAAATTTCTGAATATCATTCGGATTCAAGTCACACCGGTTCTTAATTCCACTAGATATTATTATTTAGTAATATTAATAAGAAACACATATATTAGCATATCATAATTAAGTAGGTTGATAACTTCAATGTTATTGATTTCCTTTGCAATCCTATGGGTTTTGTCTTATTATGTGTTTGAGAACATGATATTGAGAAGGGCATCCTAAGTTTTCAAAAGCCTAGTTTAGGGCTGGCCGTGTGGCTCAGGTGGTTAGAGCGTGTGCTCTTAACAAGGTTGCCGGTTTGATTCCCACATGGAATGGTGGGCTGCAGCCCCCCCCCACCCCCACCCCCCCGCAACTAGATTAAAAGCAGTAACTGGATTTAAAGCTGAGCTGCAACTAAGATTGAAGGACAACAACTTGACGTGGATCTGATAGGTCCTGGAAAAAACACATTGTTTCCCTCCCCCACCCCACCCCCAAAAAAGCCTAGTTTAGATAATGTTGGGAAGATCTGATGTCTGAACCCCTGGCAGCCACCTTGTGACTTTGAGGGGATTGGCCTGAGGGCAAAGCTGATTTAACAAAGATAGCAGACAGAGTAAGTAGGGTGGGGGAAGTTCCAGGGTCCTTTCCCAGCTATTATCAAAATTAACCAACCCTGGAAATCCCCTCTTCAGGACTTACTTCTTGTCATAATTGACGGCCTTGATGTTTAAACAGTTGAGTCAGTTTTCTGGTTTTTGCATTGAAGGTGTTGTGACAGAAAGAGGGTGCTTCCAAAGGGGTCCAGGAATGGCCTTGGGCAACCTGGGGGAGGACAGGGTCCTGCTGGCCTGTGCAGAGCCGTGTATGGATTAGCAAACGGTGTTCCTCTGGGAGCACAAAAAGTACCCTGGCTGGGGGCTTCAACTTCTGGCAAAAACGAAAGCCCCTTTACCTGCAGGCTGCCACAGCCCCCAAGCTGGGTGGCAAGGCTTGTCTTAGGGGGCTTGAGCTGGCTGGCTGTCACAACCCCCCCCACACCGCCTTTGAGCAGGCTACAACCTGTGCAGCCCCCCCTGCTGAGAATGGGTGGGCTCTGGAGGGGCATGTGATGATGGCAGGGCCTGAACCCAAGGCCTGCAACTCCCCCTCCCCTGCTGGGGATCTCACTCCCTCCGCCACAGAGCACTCTGCTTCTGTCATGCTCCAAAATGACCCTCATCCCCATCGGAGGAACCCATCAGTGCTCCAGAGCCTTGTAGTGTCCTGGCCAGGCACTGGGTGGGGGTACAGAGAGG